CTTTTACACACAGATAGATATTTATATATGATTTGCGTAAAGGTACTTGTTTTATAAATGCATTGCCCTTAGCTGTAGTTGTAGTTGTAGTTGGCTAGATCTAAAGTACATTTTATGATTTACAGTACACACATACATTCATATATCGCACTAAGTGGTTCCACTATAACTTAACTACGCATTTCGTTTGGAAGTCTTATATATGTTTGTTCACTTTGCGCAATTCGCGCCGATTTCTGGCATTTCTGCACACTTTTKTACTAAAAACTAAATTTAGAAACTCGTTTGTGCCAACTGACAAAGAAATAATTGCATTAAATTTATAAAATTTCTTCTTTAATTATATATAAATTTTACTTTACTCTAAAAAAATATTTTAGCAGTTACTTAAGGTACTTTGTGCAAGTAGTTCAACAATGATTTAGAAACTGAATTTGTTTTTTCCTACAAAAAATTGTTTCTAAGCGCACACATATGTAATTTCTGCAAGTAAGTCAAAGTTAAATTTCAAATTTCAAAACTTACTACACTTGCTTCTTGCTCGGCCTGCGTTTTGCCACCAGTGAACCTGCTTCAGCTGCCTTATTGCTAAGTATGTATTTAAATTACAAGTAATTTACACAATGCGCGCATGACGGCATTTTCTCCACCGCTTACGCWTCTCCATTGGTGCACCCACGCCTCACTAGACGATYGTGGTGCGCTCCGCGTTGCTCGTACACGTACTACTCCCCCCAATGCATACAAATTGACACTTAATGTCATCTTTCGGTAATTCTCAGGAGGCCACTGTCTCATAGTTGCCGCTGCCCAGCAACGCGGACGATGAGTTGAGTAACGGCATGCCGCCCGTCGCTGCCGCTGCTGTAGCCGCTGACATGCCCATGCTCATGCCGCCGAGTGAGCCGCCACCAGCTCCCCCTACGCCGGCGCCGTTATGTGTGCGCGGCGATGTRAGCAGCGACTGCGTTGCGGCCATGCTAATATTCCCCGATGTCATCGATGAGGTGAGCGCCGAGGGCATGCCATTTGTCGTCATGGATGCCACCGCYGCGGCAGCTGCGGCCGCCGAGGCGTGATGCTGCAAAGCGCCCGGATGTGGCAAGGTGTTGCAATGCATGCCGCTGCTGGCGTTGCTGGTGAGACTGCCACCGCCCATGCCGCCGGTGCCGACGCCGCCTGAAGTGCTGCCCAGCGTGCTGCTGTTCGTTTGTAGAGAGCCGTTGGATTGGCCGCTRAGCAGCGGTATGGTGCAGGTGGTGGTCGAGCCGTAGGGCGAGGTGGGTGAGGTGCGCGTYTCGTAGGCGGGCAGGTAGGAGCGGCCGGGTATGCGTGTGTAGATGTTGGGTGGCGTGCGTGTGGACAGCAGCGGCGGTGGTGCRGTGTAGACGGGGCGTTGAGCGGCGGGCGCGCGCTGCGGCGTGTTGTAGAGGCTGAAGGCGGGATTGGTGGTGAGCGAGAGTTCGCCATACTGCAAAGAATACAGAGTGTGTGGTATTAGTAAATGAATTGAATRCTCGTGAGTGCATAAAGTATGAATTTGTTAATAATTTCAAAGTGCTGCTTAGTTATGCCATACTTTTCATTATATGTGCGCCAAAGGGCGTACACGTGTTGCCGGTGCAAGTGACCATTTTAAATATTTAGGCGTTTTTAAAAGCAAATTTTATTTAAATTATGCTAATTCCGGTAGCAATCTATTTTCATAGCCCACACTCGCGCTCCCGTTCACTGTTATCTTTACATGTCTATGCACTACTACTAATTTACTCTGGTCTGTTATGCAACCCTTTTGCGCTTCACTTAGCATTTGCAYTTAGTAGGTATTAAAAGCAAAAGGCAACTTGTCACACTATACCTAACACGGCTCTGTGCCCAATAGTGCCTTCTTCGCGCRCATGTTGCTCATACGCCCGGTGGGTCGTGCTGGTCACTCTTCACTAATAATAAGCTCGCATCCCTTGGGTGTACCATAACGTTCGTGTAGCGGGAGTAATGGTGCACAACTTTGTTGCTTTGTTGAAAACATACAACTTTTATGCTTGTACAGCATTATTAATACTGAATTATGCAAAGTGACCCGAACACAACTTAACTGCTAAGTATGCTTGTGTTACCTTTWTAAGCTCATACGCACACATATGCTGTGTGCTCTTGTTATTTGTTGTTATTGTTGTTTTTTTTATACATTTATGTACGAGCTAAAGTTAAGTTCTACTTAGGCTTAACAAACCAAATTCACACTCACTTGACATGCGAACATAAGTCGGCCAATAATGCTAATTCRCCTGGGAACAGTCGCCCAGGCACACACACAAACGCACACATGTAGCTGTGGCGCAGAAGTGTGGCAGTTTCTTTCGTGCATATTGGAAATAAATTTGCGRTAAATGAAAATTGATGTCTGCAATCTGGGGGTAAAAATTGATGGAACGGTAATTACAAGCTGCAAGTTAATGATCAATGTGATGAACTGAGTCGACTAAGCAGTGTTTTTTAACAATTTTTTGAGCTACGGATCTGAAATATTTTACATGCACTTTTCTCACGAAAAACCTGCTTATCTGTTGGAGCCGGCTATAATGGATTACTATAGCATATAGCCGCCATGCAAATTGACTGATACAACTGAAGTGCTTGTACGGAAAACTTTTTATTTGTTTAGGTATAGGCACGAAATTTAACACAATTTTTTATTTACGACATAGCTACAATCTGCGAAACAATTTTTCAAATCGMACAACTATAGCATATAACTGCCATACCAAATGGCCGATACAACTCAAATGCTAGTTAGGAAACCTTTTTTAATCATCCAGGTATTGCGACGAAATTYAACACTTATTATTATTTAAAGTATAGCAACAATCTGCGAATGAATTATTCAGATCGTGTAGATATGACCTACAGCTGCCATACAAATATATCGATCAAACTCAAGTCCTTGTATGGATACATTGTTTAAATGAGAAGTTATCTTCACGAATTTTTGCATACATTATTATTTAAGAAATATCAATAATCTCCATAGAAATTATTCAGATCGCACAACTATAGCATATAGCTGCCATACAAAWTGACCAAATTAACYCAAGTCCTTGTATGGGAAACATTTTTATTTGACAAGATATCCTCACAAAATTTAACACATATTATAACTTGACACATARCTACAAGCTCTGAAGAAATCCTTCAGTTTTAACTACTATAGCTTATAGCTGCCATATAAACTAATCRACCARAATCCACAAAATAGCTTGTTATACTCACTTATTCTGTAATACGTGTACCTGTGTAAGGCAATATAGCTTCCATGCAGTCGAAGTTACCGTTTTTTCAAGCTCTTTATATACATTTTTATATCATGATTCATATCACTGCAGAAGCCTTAGCTGACATCCAACCCAGGCAATTTTTCACCTCACAGAAATGCACTTTAAATAACTGGCAGCTGTCTTGTAATGAGGTGTAAAATAATTGTTATTGATTTCCTCTCAGACAGTCAACTAAGAYATGTCCTACAAAATGTCAAACGCGCACTTTAATTTGACGTCTGAGTCAGGGACATTACAATATAAAATATTTCTTTCAGCCACAGTTGCCTTCACACTCATACAATATTTACAGCTCATGTCCATCTAAAGCGCAAAAATGATCAGCCATTTTCTAACAAGACAAACGTCTGGTAATTGCATCAGCTGCCAGACAACGTTGAGCGTGCGCGGCGTGAGCAATTGTGCGCCCAAATTTATCTAATTCACTAAATCGACGGACGATTTACATACAAAAATATTGACGCAACTGAATAAATARCACACACGTATGTGCCATATATAASAGAGTTTGTACACACCAAATGGCGGCAATAACTTAAGCGMGCACATAAAATTGAGAACATACACACACATGTGCTGCAGATCTGAGGCCCAACACCGTTGAGTGTACACTTGCACGTACGCCGGGAGTGGGGCGTCGTTATTGTCGTTTTATTTCGTTTGGCATTCATTTGACATTTGACTTCTTGTTCGCTAGTATTTGCTGGCATTTCATTGTGTTGTGTTGGCTGCCATCGATTGCGGTGCTTACTCAAACTTGGCCGTTAGARCAGCGCTTGAGCCAAACACAAAGTACACCTGCATGTGTGTGTGTGCGTGTGCTTCACCTTTATGTCTCGATAGAACGTGACAACGATTTCGTTATTGTGACTTTGCACAGCGCGCAAATGCCCGATGAAGTTGACGCAAAAAAGTAGCATAAAAACACACACACCTCAATACATATGAGTGTCGGTGAAATGAGCGCTGGCGCAAGTCAATCGTTTCCATGGCGCTGATATGGCCGTCATTGGTGTGCGTGCCTATACATATACATACATGCATACGTTTCGTGCGCACGTGTTGGCATTAGTCGGTTGTGCAAAGTTTCCACACATAATGCTGAATTCCGTGTTAAATTCTGTGTTGAAAAGTTTGCCAAAAGCAATATTTTGCATACTARACAAAAAATGTTGCTCATACGCCGTGGCGTTTGGTAATGGGAGCACCACGCCTTGACGCAGACACAGTCAGATATGTGTGCGTTAAGGATTAGTCAAAGTTGACGCTATTTTAAGCCCTTCCATGGAAGTATGCTTGAGGGCAGCTTGCAGGTGGTAAATGCTTGGTTCGTTCCACAAAATGTGTGATTTTCAAGTAAAGCAAGCCAGAAAATTAGCAGCACAGCTGGACTTAACGACTTTATTTTCTTCAAATAATTGTTAGCGCAACAAACATAGCAACAAATTTATTTTTTTTCTCGTACGTTTTTACACAGCGCACATACGCGTCCTTTGTTGGCACTTTTTGCAGCTGCTTGCCTTCTCCAAACGTTTTTGCACAAAGAAAGTGCGAAACTCAGCACTTAGCAGGCTGTCAGGTGCGCGCACAGCAGTTTTTCTCAAACGTATTGGCATACAGGTTTAGCAAGAAATACAAAAAATAAGCACAGGAAGCACTCTGCCGTGAGCAAAAAGGAGATTCTTYTGAAGTTTGGTGCTGCATTCGCAACAAGCAGGCAATTTATTTAATTTTGACAAAAAGTTGCTGAAAAAGTCGAGTGCTCAAAGCAGTGAAATACACAGGCAAAGAATGGAAACAGCAGAGTTAAGCGCTTACGGCMAAAACTGCAAAGAACTCCCAGAAGAGAATGTGTTAAACTAAGCATAAAGGAGTGAGGCAAACAGTGAGCCTCACTACTTTGTACATGCGGAATTGACAGGTGTCGCAGCAGCGCGACGTTGACGTGTTCACAGGGGGAAAATGTACTGAGTGACAGCAAGAGAAAGCTCRCAATCACACGAAAACGATCGAAAATAATAACAAAAACAAATCGAAAACATGCCTATCAAGCGTAACAACATTKAAATCGAGAAGTGTGGCATGCCTCAAGAACAAGAGACACAAAAATTGTTGTTGGCTACAGCACCTTCAACTATATGCACGCGGTGCGGCTGGCGTGGTTAATAAATTTATTTACCAATGAAATATTGCAAACAAACTAATAAAATTGTCAACGCAAAGAATTCAATTCAATTTCGGTTATGAACTCAAATGCGGTGTTTGTGTGTGTGTTGGCGCAAGTACATGCATATAAATGTAGGTGAGTGTCAACAAATGTATGCGCAAGTATGCTGACAATGAATGTGTGACATTTGTGTGTGTAGTGGATTTGCGTAGGTGCCGCGCAGTTGTAATGCTTGTCAGTGGCACACATATGGGCTAAATATATACATATGCACACAAATTATTAAATGTAGTGAAGGTGGTAGAGACATGTATGGAGTATGAATGCACATAAATAATATGGAAGATGGAAATGTTGTGTCATAAAAATGAGTTACAGCAGACGCGCATTTGTTTAACACAGAAACGAAAATGACGGCAAATTTGATGGGTGGCGGATTGAGAATGAATGAACTGCTCTTGCCGGTGACATATGAGATTTCGCTAAATGAAGCATAAAAAAATGCAGTTTCACGTTCTTAAACTTATATATTTTTATTTTATTCTATTTCACTGATTTCTTTACCATTTAAGTACTGGGTTTAAACAAGTATGGCAAGACTTTTTATTTGACAAGATATCCACACGAAATTTGGCAGGAATTATAGCCTAAAATATTGGCACAAGCTTCGTAAAAATTGTTCAGATCGGTTCACTCTAGCATATAGTTGCCATACAAGCTGACCGCTCCAAAGCAAGTTTTTGTATGGAAAGTTTTCTTATTTGTAAAGATATTCACACACACCTTGGCACGGGTTATTCTCATGGCTAGTAATGTAATCTCCGAAGAAATTGTTAATATCCGATCGGTATTTCATATAGCTGTCATACAAACTAACTATTCAAAATAAAGTTTTTGTATGGAAAACTTTTTTATTTGACAAGATATCCACAGTTGGCAAATTTGGCAGTGATTATTATCTAAAGTAATGCTGCAACCTTCGTAAAAATTGTTCAGATCGGTTCACTCTAGCATATAGCTGCCATACAAGCTGAATGCTAAAAATTAAGAAAAAATATTTTTATATGCTTTATGTTACAAGAAAACACTTGTKAAGSTGTACGGAGCAACTGAAATTAACGGTTTTTTTCTGTTTTAATTCGCATTCATTTTTGTATTCCAATACCGTAACAAAACTWACTCGAAAGTATTTTAAAACACTTTGAAAAAGTTTACTCATTATAACCACAAACACTTGTACCAAACTGCCTTAATTGAGTTGCCATTCACACAATCAAGCGTTGGGACAAATTAGAGAAACCTTTCAAAATAAAATCAGCAAAATTTGAGCTGAAAATCACAGCACACACTACTCAGCTGCCGATTTATATTAACCATAGACGCAATATGCAAACAGAATGTAATTTGTCACAAGAGCAGCACAATTATAAACCGAAAACAAAAGCAGAAAAGGAGTAGTAAATAGCTCACTCATCCACAAGTAATAACTCTTTGCTGCCAATTTCCCAAATTAGCACAGATGCAGACCTACATTATTGTAATTGCATTGTGAGACCGGGTAAGGAATACGCCTGACGTTCGAATGCCTGAACTGAAGCACAGCTGCATACATATTTACAAACATTTATATTCATGATGTATATGTATATACTGGTATATATAAATATATAAATATATACAGTTATGTGCTCATAGATATTTTTCTGTCATAATGATACACTCCAGCGCGTGCCGAGATTGTTAGGTCGAGCGCTCTGCTGCTACGACTTGGAATAACTTGCAACAAATTAACCGCAATTAAGGCACTTTAATTAAGCTCCGACAATGGGTATGAGCAATATCGACCAATAGCCAGCAAAAACATGATATGTCTATACACACACATCTATAAATATGCAGTTGTTGTACTTATGCTAGTTTGTGCGGCTTACTATGWGCAAACAAAGCGAATTCTCCGAAGTGTGTCATATCTTGGCATGGATTGTTCGTTAAGGGTTCGRCACAAAATTACTTGAATGACAGAAACAATGAACGCTGACACACTTGCAACCATACTTTCAGACGGATGTTTTAGTTGTATGTGTGTGTGTGTGTGGTTGTGTAGTTGAGGATATTGTCAACAAAATTGAACCCTGACAACTGAGTTCGCAAACACGCACATATTTACATATGCTGTGTGGCAAATATTTGAAAACTATATAGATACAAGTGTGTGCTCTTATGTATTTATCCATGTGGTTGTTAACAGGCCATAATAATCAGTGGCATAAAAACAAAGTGGGGTGCTCTAGTTAGCTGCCAAAAAATTGTAGCCTATCTGCAAGGCGCACATCACACATATGCTGTGATGTTAATACCCGTTACGATAAATGCATGTATGAGTGAAACTTTGATATACAAGTATATATATTTATAYRTATGTAGAGTTATTTATTATGTGCGAGTCACCTATGTGCTGACCACTTTGCCGTACTCGCATGATTGTCATGTTTTCGCAGCACTTTGCCGCTTTCTCAGCCGCTAACTGACGAAAGTATCTACTTTCCGCATCCGCTTCCCCTCACTCACTGCTGCGGCGCTTTCTTGCGTTTTGTTTTTCCATATACACACAGGTATATGTGTGTGTGTGTGCCCCAAGAGCCAGAAGTTAGCGGCCGAGCACGCATTTCCGCCATAGAAGACAATGAGTTTCCAGCAACGATGACGGAGAATCATTGTTGAAGACAGCAAGCACAACAAGGCGTATGCGTTGTTACCACACAGCATGGACTTTTGCGCTTTTTGACACGCGCTTGTAAGTGMAGAGTGTACGCTTCCGCTTTGACACGCTTTTATGCTGCCGAAGACAAGTGTGCTGGTAAGTGCTATCAATATATGATAACAACAACAACATTGCGTGYCATCGCAAGTGGTGTGAATGACAAAGCAAGCTATAACGAAGCATAATTTTCAGCGCCAGAATTTTTAAGAAGCAGTCGCCGGTTATTATCTACACGCATATATAATAAGAATGTCATTGCAAATACACAAACAAAGCAACTACATCGAAGTTATCATTAAATAACGGAAATATAACGAAAAGCGGGCTCAAAAGACACCACAAGTTATAAGGGGCAAAARCTGTCAATCAGTAAATAATGACAGCGCGACACAAGCAAGTGGAAGAAACTGCAATAATAGGCCATTTAGGCCGCAATATAATGCCGATGACATTGTTTCTACAGAAGGAGGCTATAAAATGAAATAAACCTGTCAATATGATCGGAATACTTATATATGGCAAGCCTATATAAATCTCAAATACATATGAACAAATAGATTAGGGGCTGTGGCATGGCYGTCAGCGTCTGCTCGAAAATTGCTGGGTGCAAAAACTGTAGACGATGTTGACAATGACGATGACAACGGAAAATTGTTTCGCGCTGTTGACAGTTTATCAAATAGTTCAGTAAAACAACAGCAACAGCACTGCAAATGTGCTAAGCATACAATTTTGTTGTTGTCATACACAAAACCACTTAAATAATAAATTCTTATAAAAGTAAAGAGGGCAGCTAATTGGCAGATGGAGGATTTATTTTGTACCTTTATTTGGTATGTTTACATTTTTTTAGGTTTAAGTGAAAAATCGCAAAAAAATTTCAAACAAATTTTTCGAACAAAATTTTTCGAACTTATATTTTTCAAGACAGAGAAAAACATAATCCAAAAGTAATTATTAGATTTTCAGAAGCATTACTATAATATTGGCTTAAAATCTATGGGTAGCGAATTTCTTGATTATTTTCAATCATTTTTGAATAGCTGTAACTCTTTTAAACTTTCTCGAATTTAAGTTTTTTTGGTTCAATGAAACTTAAGGTCTGCCTTTCCTACACTGTATAGTATGACGAGATATACGCCCGCAACGACATCTATTAACAAAATACGAACAGACTTTTTCGACTACTCAATATTTTGTTGCAGGCCAAGAAAACAATAAAGATTCTCCAAAAATAACTCTTTAAAGCCTACAATAAAACTATTATTTTAGCTAAAATTCTAATATTTCTAAAATAATATTATTGCTGGTATGCTCGAATCAAATAGTAATCACTCAAATAATAAGTGGAATYGACCTACAAAAGCCATTTAATCATCAATGTCAACATATCACATTTTTAAACTATTATCATAACTTATACCCTCCTCAACATTTTGCACATTTTCAACCTTTCACAAACAGTTACACCACTGCCCTCCCTCATTCTTCTATAAACACCACAGTACGCCGAAACTTTCACAGAACTTTTGCGACCGCCTAAGTAGCCTGCCTTTTTCGGGGTCACTCAGAAGATTGTTAAATCAGATTAGACAACAACTCTTTTCACATACTTTGAGGCGTTGAAGCGTTGAAGCGTTGCCGAAAAGTTACTTTGTTAAGCAAACTTGTTTATTTTATAAGCGTCGAAGCTTGCTGCGCGGCTACGCCAAAGGTTATAAGCAGCCTTGTTGACAACAATATTAATTAGCTTAAGCGCCGAGAGCTAACTTGAATCACATGAGTAGGACATTATGAGTAGACAAAACTATAACAGATTGGAGCAGAGAGAGCGCGCTTGTGTTTGGGTGCTTGTGACAAGGCTTTCCTAAAATGCTGAGARAACATGACTGCCAGTTTTTTAACTGATTTCATGTGTGTTTCTAATCGAACAGTATTTAATGATAATCAATTGCCTTTACTTTTGTTACAACTACATATAGATATGTATGTATGTATATGCGTGATATCAATCAGCACTCACCTGCTTGCCGAATGTGGGCGACAGCGAAGGCGGTGGCGGCGACGCCGTATTAATGCGCGTCGGTGGCGTGTACAGTATGCGCTGCGACTCRATGTTCAGCCGATCGAACGCCTTCTCCTCCAAGTGAAACTCRTCCTCGCTGTTAGTCTCCTGCGGCACAACATCGGGATTTTTGTCCTCCAAACTCGAATGGCTGCCCATGTTACGCGACAGCGGCTCGGCGCTACCCTTATCCGCCTCCGTGGTGGTGGTATCACCGTTCGGGCGACGCGTCGCCTTCGGGCGTACACGTAGGAAAATCACAATGCAGATAGCGATCAACACGACTGTGGCGACAATGCCCAGCAAAGCGCCGAGCAGCGGTGTCAGCTGCACCAACACAGCGGTGGAGGAGGCCGTGCGTAGCAGCGGTGCGGAGAGTGTACGTCCGCGCACGCGGTATGACACTTTGCTCGGTCCTTGCGCGTTCACGGCCGTTACGCGTATCACGAAGACCGAATCGCTCGGCAGTCGCTTGACGGTGAACTCAGCGTACTTGTAGGAAGTGTTGTAGAGTATTTGATTGGTGAGTTCGTCCTTGATTTGCACGTGAAAGTGCTGCGGTATGCCGCCGTCATAGCCGGCGATGCACTGTATTTGTATGGAGTTGGCGGTGGCATTGTAGGCCGTGCAGTTCTTCACCGGGTCGGGAAAGTCTGTAAGGAGAACAAAAGTAAAATGTTTAGTGAAAGTTTAAAATCAGCTTAAAGCACAATAGAAAAAAGTAATGTGRCACATTTAACGGCACTTTGCAATACGCTGCTGCACTCAGCATTGACCTTGATTTATTTTTATATAGTTCATAGCTCACAGTACACAAACAAAAGCACGTTGTCATCACTTAAACGCGCAACTAAATCATATGGAGGCCCACACCCAAACAGTTTATGCGCCAAAATTTATGCCACACAAACGCCCACGCCGTTTAGGCTGAGGTGCACTTGTGCCGCGTTGCTTGGCAGTGCTGTTGGCAATGCCGCTCAGCCTTTTAGGGTCAATAGTGTACTTGAGTGTGCCACAGAAAGGCCTCATGAATGTGGGCTGTGGTTCCCATAGCACCTGCCCGCCGCATAGCGGCTCAAACCGTACTTGTTACGTGTGGCAAGTTGGTGTTTTGTGTGTCTTGCGTGTGGCGTGTGGGGTGTGCAATTGTGGTTTATTGTAGTTTAGTTGTTTACTCATTTCTTGCAAATTCATTTTTCCTCTGTGCACTTAGCGGTGCAAGCGCTTGCAAGGCACAAGCAAAAACAAAATGTAGTAAGGTAGTGATGCAAAAAGTGCAGAGTAAGGGATGGTTGTATGTGTATGTGTGGGTGGCAAGTAAGACAGGCGCTTACAAGTGTATGGACAAGCAGTAAAATTGAATCAGCAACAAACTAAACAAGCAGTGTGCGGGCACATAGACAAACGCATAAAAAAAAATATATAAATAACCYAGGACAGACATAAAGAAAGAAGGTGTAAAGTGAAGGGCCCAGCAGGAAAAATTTCAGAGCGGAAATGACTTTATAATTAAAAAGTGATTWCAGGCTCTAAATTGTTCGATAGTTTCGATAGTCAAGTGACTCGATCAGTTTCCGATTGTGGCAAGTTTTTGTGAACCCAAAAAATGTTGTATTTTCGTGCTTGATTTCAGCGCAGGGACCAAAGCAATGCAAACTAATAAAATCGTTTTAGTACAACTTTACCAGGAACAATTTTGAAGCACTATCTAATCAAGCAGCTCCCGATATCGCGATATTTTTTTTAAATAAATGATTTTATACTATTTTTTATAAAGTCTGTAAAGTTTTTTTTTAGCAGGCCACTAAAGGCTTAAGCGGTGCCAGGGTATTATTTGTAGTAAAACTTTAATCGTGGCACGCTATTTTTTCTTTAAAATATTGTAAAAATCCGCAAAATGCATTTATCCCTAAAAGTATGCTATACTTTACTAGRTATTTTGAATTTTGATATTTATTTCATGAAATATTATATTTAATTATATATAATTTATGAGAACAGTTTGCGAAAGTTGAACAAATCAATCAATAGATCAATCTGCTTGGCATATGCAGAACGGTATAAAGCCTAGTTAAGAGGGGTCGAGGGTATAGTCGAAAGCGGCATATGCAGAACAGTATAAAGCCTAGTTAAGAGGGGTCGAAGGTATAGTCGAAAGCGCTAATTCAAATAGGCTACTCGTAGAAGAGCTAAAAACTCTTACTGCAACTTATTTAAAATAAAAATAAAAAAGATTTTCGGATTTGAATAATTTCTTCTTACATTCCACTGATGTCTTAGAGAGCAAACCGAATTTCTTCAAAATATCTCTCCATACAAGCAATTTCTTACGAGCGCTCATTTCGTAGGGCAGCTATATGATATAGTAGTCCAATATTGGACGTTCCAACAAAACAGCAGCTTATTTATGATACAAGGGCGTGTGCAGAGTTTTGGTTTGCTATCTGAAAAATTGTTCAGAGTATAAATATTCCTGTGAGTGAAAGTAGTAACGGCACTAGTTCGATTCGAAACGCCTTAAAACCAGATCAGCATAACGCCTTTACTCGTCGGCACACTGAGTATTTAGATGTTTAGGTATACATATGTATAAAAAGTACTGTAGGAGCACTAACTAGGGTTTGTATTTTACTGTTGCTCTTTCTCTTATGCACACATTTTGCGGTTGGGGTTTCATGTGTGTGGTTGTAAATCAAGTGCTAGAGTCCTTTTTGCAAGATAAATAACTTTTCAAACACACACGCACCCATACTACCGTGCATGTATGTGGGCGCTAAAACAATGCAGCACAAAGTTTTTATTACAAAGTTTGTTTCTTTCTTACTTTTCCCCTATCTAAGCAAGCTGCCGCCAAGGCACCGCGCACAACGCCACCACCAGCGCCAGTGCCACCGCCATGCAGCCAGCACTTGTGGTAACTTGAGTTGTTAGTCTTAATTACCAAGGGTTGCACGCGTTGCGCGCTGCTCGGTTACTTTGGTTTCACTTTTATATTTAACAACACCTCGGCTCTAATCTTACGCACATATTATTTATTTATGTTTGTGTTTGTGGCAGTGCTTTTGTGTGGATGCACAGTAGTAGTAGCGGTGGCACCCTACACTCAAATGGTTCAAGCAGCACAAGTGTATTGTAACTATGGCGAAGGGGKGAAAACGCATGGCTAAAGAGCTTTTGCGAAAGCGGGTCAAAATGTGATCAATTAATTGATGAAAACTTATCTGAGAGTTGAAAGTGCAGTGATAAGAGCAGGCTTTTAATAAAGAAAGTGGAACGTTGCTTATTTTTATGAAGACTTTTCGAAGAGGTTTTGTAAGAAATTTTTGCTGAGTAAGTATGCTTCTGCTGGCAAGTATGCTTATATTGCTTATATAAGCATGCACATAGTTATAGATAAGATATGATAAAWCGTAGGTGGTGTGCAGATTTTCAGCAAGACTCTCCAAAGTTAGGTGATGTAGCTGCTGGACGCTATTGATTGCCATTATCAGCWATTTCAGCACGCATAGACAATTTTACGCCACAATCCAACTTGATTTCATATTTCTGTGCACACACTTCGATTTCTTGGCTAGCCTTTATTGGCTTCATTTACCGTTGAATTTTCGAATTTTCGAAATTTCGAAATTCATCAACTGAAATTCGTTTTCATTTGCGGTATGAGGCATTTTGTCAAGCATCCGGTCGTTTAGTTATTTGCAAAATACAAATTGTTATTCTCACAAATGATTTATCTGTTGAAATCACTTAATCGGAGATTTATGGGCATTGCCGAATTGTGGTCAGCACAAACGAGTATTGCACTTGACAATTAAATGACATTCATTATGCGAACTCGAGTGCAGGAAGGCCTGAGGTAGTGAGGACCTGAGCGGAGAAAAGTGAAAGAAATGAAATGAAGTGCCTGCTGAGTACTGGCAAGCAAGTTGAGCAACAGCYGAATATGGTAATGTGGACATTTCTATTTATGTGTGCTTGTGGCGGGAGCTATATACAAATTATAAATGCAATAACAACAAAAAAGAGTTTGTGGCAAAACGTTAGCTTTCAAATCGTTTGCCGATCATTTTGCCAACGATGCGTGCGGCAAGCAGTAAGAGACTGTTAACTGACAATCGCACCGATACTTATATACGCATACGTACACATATACACTTATACACTCACAGCGGTGTGTTGGGCGAAATGCTCAATTTGTGCAAATGATAGTAAAAACTGTGAATTGCTCGTTGTAAATATGTAAAATGCAAGCGATTCACAGACAATTGCTGCAAGCCAGTGCTGCTAGGAAACGTTAGACACACACACATGCGAATCGTTACAACGGTATATGCTTATAMCTAACAGTTTACGAGCTATTACAATTATTTGGGAAGTTTCTGACAAAAAGTCGTGTCACTGCAGTCACTCTTGGCTGCGCGGCAGTTGGAAGGGCGACTTGCCTGTGCACGCTGCTTGTTAAAAGCACTGTTAAAAATAAGGTGGCGTGTGGTGAAATGCTGTATGTATGCCATGGTAAGTGTGAATGTCATAAGTGCAAGTCATATATCATACAATTATTTAATATTGTTGAGCGATGCAAAATAAAAAAAAAATTCTAATAAAATTTTTCATTTTTTATGTGAGAAAAAAAYTGTTGAAAAAGGATGTTTTTCGCCCAAGGGAACACATTTAACCTCTTATGGCTATTGTGCGAGGCAGAATCATTCTCAACATTTTAAGAAATAAGTTTATTCTCTATAGTGAATGTATTACTTCAATTTTTTTTCGTCTGCGGTTAATTTCGCAAACTGAATGCAGCAAATGCACTTAAAATGTCGGAAGTGACTGAAAATGCATATGACAGTAGGCATAAAGTGGTAAACGCAAATGTTTAAGAAGTGACCAAGTACGAAAAACACACAGGAATTAAAAAAAATTAAATAAAAATTGGAAAATTTTAAATGAAAATGAAAAAAAATCCAAAAAAAAAATAAAAATTGCAGTGAAATACGAAAAATCAGTGTTGGTGGCGCTAAAATACACTACTCAACAAATTTGAAGGAAAAATGTGCGACTGATGACGGCAAAACACCACACGTSTCGAAAAAGTCTTTTCGTATTTTGTCCATAAATGTCGTTGCAGTGGTACATATATCTCTTGGGCTACCAATCGCATTGTGTCATACCATATACTATTGGAAAGGTGACATTTCAGGTTTCATTTAACCAAAAAGAAAAAAAAATTAACTTCGTGGAAGTTGAACAACAGTTACAGCTGTTCAGAAATGCGGGAAAATAATGAATAAACTGGCTATATTTTGAAATTTTCGTATAAAAAACTGTCACGCCAGCCACCAATTAAATTTGTCAAGTTTACGAAGACGATGTTGTATCAGTTCGTGTAGCACAACAATGGTTGGCGCGCTTCCGTTCTGGAAATTTCGAAATTKCGATTTACACTGCTGGAATTATGTCTCAAGCTGAAAAATTGCAGAAAATGATAGACCAAAATGGTACACATTTGTTTGTTAATTTCTTTGTGTATAGAAAAAAAAAAGTTTAAATTTAAATTTGATTAGAACTACAAAACGACTTTTTTGACTACCCAACATTTATAAAAAAAACTGAGCACCAAAAAACCGGAATTATTTWCGAAGAAAATCCATATCCAAAATTGTGTGAATAAATACGCCTTTTGATAATGGCTTGTAATTTGATTTTTTGTTCGGCGAAAAAATTTTCCAATTAAATTTGGCACTACATGGCAATGTTAAAAATATATGTATGTCGTTCACTCTAAAACAAAAACACCTAAATTACATTGCGGAAAACAGTGATTGGGCGTAATACTCTTTAATAAAAAATTATGTTATTTTCATTTAATTAAAACCTTGACTTCGGCAAAAAATAGTGTTTCAAATTACCTACACATTGAAATCGTGTAAATATGYATAAGCTTGTGCTTATAAGCACGCACACKGCAAAACATATGCTGGRAAATRAAAAAGAAAGATGATTTACCTAGTAATTCAAGTGAAATTCTTCAACAATTTCTCTTTTAATTAGCGCAAAGTCAACACAGCAAACTTTTTTTCTTTTCACACACACACGCGTATCATATGTGTGCGCTGTACTGTGGTAGCTACAGACAATGCGCTCAAATGCCTGTGGATATGTGTGTGCATGCATGTTTGTACGTATGTATAAGTATGTATTAGTGCGCTTTCCAAACAATTACATTACTAATAAAGCGTGAGTGTGTTAAAGGAAATCAAAAATAACGAAACTTTTCTAGAGAAATACGTTTTTAAAAAAATCAAAAATATATGCCAACAGATTTTGATATGATTTGACTTTGATTTGATTCAAAACAGAAAATTTCAAAGCAATTAAGTAAATGTGAAAAATTATATAAAACTGATAAAAACTTATTTAATTTTT